TGGGGACTGGCCCAGCAACATAGTGGTTAAGTTCGTGCACTCTGCTTCAGCGGCACAGGGTTTGCCAGTTCAGATCCTGGGCGCGGATTTACACACCTCTCATCAAGCCGTGCTGTGGCGGTGTCCCACATAGAGCAACTAGAAGGATGTACAACTATGACATACAACTATCTACTGGAGTTTTGGGGAGGAAAAAAAAAGGAAAAAAGGAGGAAGATTGTCAATAGATGTTAGCTCAGGGCCAACCTTCCTCAAAAAAAAAAAGAAGAACAGGGCTGATCCTCAGAACCTGGTATACCATGAAAAGGGCTAGCGATTTTATTTTGTAGAATGTCAGTGTATTTTGATGTCTAAGGGATTTACATCTTGTGCTTTTAATTAATATTCAATTCATTAACGTTAGTAATGCAAAGGCCTAATTTATTTTAAGGCCTTAAATTTACATAACATAACTTGCTAGCCTATTTATACCTCTAGTAAGTTTTATTTAAGTAAGAATAATTATTTTCAGGGAGATCTTTGATTAATGATTGGACAACTCAGACTAAATTCTTTTAAATCAATAGTTATGTTTATAAATTTAGTTAGCTAAACTCCCTTGCACGTTTTACATTGCGTATATAAATTTATATACTGAATTTTATTTTTAAGCATTTCAAATACTTAACTGAGAAAATTTAATAACTCCACTAAGCAAAACCCTCCCAAGACTTAAATGACTCCTGTAATGTATCAAACCACATCCGGTTCTCTTTAATATTCCAATTGCATTTGCTTTATACTTTGCATTTTGCTTGTACTTTTTAAGAAGCATACTTATTTCAAAAAATTTTAAGCATATAAAAGGCAGGGGAGAATAGTATAATGATCCCCCATGTCCCCTTCACCAACTTCACCAATTATAAACTCATTACCAATCTTGTTTCATCTATACCCACACCCACACACCTCTTCTCATATTATTTTGAAACTAATACCAAATATCACATAATTTCATCTATAAATATTTCAGTAGGGATCCCTAAAAATGGAGTCTATGTATTAATATAAAATATAAAGTCAGTGTTCAAATTTCCAATTGTCTCTTAAACTGAATGTGTGGGTTTTCTTTTAAGTTTCTTTGAATAAGAATCCAAGCAAAGTCTACACATCTTCATTGGCTTATATGTTTTGTAATTCTCTTTCAAGCTGTAAGTCACCCTCTACCCCTTCTTTTTTTATTTATTGCAATGTATTTGTTGAGGAAATCAAATTGTTAGTGGGCACTGTAGTTGCCCACAGTCTAGATTTTGCTGGTTGCTTCCCTATAGCTTCAGTGTTCCTGCTCCTCTGTATTTCTTGTAAATTGGTAATTGGATGTAGAGATGGCTTGATAAAATTTAGTTCTTTTTTTTGGCAAAACCCTTTCTTAGGTGATGGTGTATTCTTTTATCGGGAGCCCATAATGTCTGGTTGACTCTCCTTTTTTGATGTGAACAGCTGTTGCCACTCCACACTTAAAGTCCACGCCTTTCAACTACAATAAAAAGTCTAAATCACAAATTTTAAATTGATTTGACACATCTGACTGAATATTTTCTGATGTAACAAATCTCTTAAAAATTACAAATAATCAAAATGTTGAACATATGTACATTGTCCCAATAATTATAAAACTTATTCCACAAATTTTTGTACCACGGGTTTGACTTACTCCATCATTTCTGTATTTAATTCTGAATCTTCCAAGACTAAGAAGACTCACTAAGGGAAACAAGTGTCTTGTCATGACCAAGCTAATGAGTTGATTAACTGGGCCTTTACACTTACCAAAAATAAAAGCTAAACATATGTAAGTTAAATTTTAAAATTTCAATTTTTTTTTAAAGTGAGTTTATTAGGTTAACAGTTGATGACCACATATGTTTACCATCTCAGGTGGAGACTGAGACACTTACATCCATGGCAATTCTTCCTGAGCCACAAGTGTATCCGCTGAGCCCTTTTTATGGTCTTAGTGATAGCAAAGCACTTCCAGCCCACATTCTTCAAATGGGATTTGTTTTGTAACCAGCATCTCCTGGGTTCAAGTATCACTCTTTCCTAATTCTTTAAGCGACTTGAGTATTGAACATGAGAAGGACATAATCATGCTTCTGTGTTAGAAAGATCATTTTGGCAGCAGTGTGAGAAGGGTGGGGAAGATGAAGAGCAATTCTGGTCACTGGACAACTGGCAAGATGGCTGCTTCCAGAGTCCACACCAGAGATGGTATAATCCTCTTCTCATGTCTATCAGGAAAGAGGAGAGAGGTGGAAAGGGAAAGTGAATAATAGGAGACATTCAATATGTACAACTGACAAAACTTGATTAATTTGATGTGGAACTGAAGAAGAATGAGAAATAAAAGATAACTTGAGGCTTGGATATGTGAATTGTGGTGCCATTCACCAAGATAAGAAATCTAGGAAAACAGGTTTAGTCTGGGATGGAAGAGGGAATCCTCAACTTCTGAGATGTTAATATAGAACCTGCAGTGGGCTGTCCAGGTAAATATGTATATATGTGTATATATATATATATATGAGTCTGAAACTCAGAAGAGAGACCTGGGCTAGAGATTTCAATATGGGTGTCACCAACATTACGATAATATGTGAAGCTATGGGGTATATGAGACTATTTGGGGATAGATGTAGAGCGAAAAAAATGAAGAAAGCCAAGATCAGAACACAAAGGAACATCATCACTTAAAGGGAAAGTCAGAGGAAAATAAACCCACAAAGGAAATTGTGGGATAGTTGGCCAAAGAAATAAGAAGTGAGCCAGGACAGATTTCTTATGGAAACTCAAGGAAGGCAAAACAGCCAATACAGTACTGTTAATGGCCAGAAAGCAATCAAGTAAGATGCAGGCTGAGAGGTAACCAGTGGATTTGGTAATTAAGTCTTTTAAGAGTAGCTTCAGGGGCCAGCCTGGTGGTGCAAGCTGTTGGGTGCGCATGCTCCGCTGCGGCAGCCCGGGGTTCGCAGGTTTGGATCCTGGGCACGCACTGACGCACTGCTTGTAGAGCCATGCTGTGGCGGCGTCCCATATAAAATAGAGGAAGATGGGCATGGATGTTAGCTCAGGGCCAATCTTTCTCAGCAAAAAGAGGAGGATTGGCATCAGATGTTAGCTCAGTGCTGATCTTCCTCACAAAAAAAAAAAAAAAAGAGTAGCTTCAGTGAAGGATTGGCAATAGATGCCAGGCTGTAGTCAAGGAAGAAATGAGTGGGAGAAGATGAGGTAAAGTCAGTGAGTGTAGACAGGGAAAAGGAGGATTTTGGCTGGGAAAAGGAGGATTATCTTGTGGTAATGTGGAGGTTTAGAAAGGTAAAGAAAAGTATTTGTTCTTTATGAACAAGAGTAACTCGGGCTGAGGGAGAAAACAAAGAGTGAGATATTTAGGGATGGGAGTGAAAGAAAAGGAATAATAATAATAATAATAAATAATATTATGATGGAAGAAATGGGACGAAAGGGGTAGAATCATTGATAATTCAGATAGGATTCAGAACACAGGTGAAAAGAACTTTGATAGGAAGAAGATAAGGATGGGTATAAATGTGGATAAGTTTGTGGATTAAAAGAATGTATTTTCTTAAGAGAGTTCATACCCAGTAACTGCTATTATATCAGTGAAGTAAGAAACAAGATCATCTGATTATAGGGGAGAAGAGAGGAATAGGAGATTTGAGGAAAGTAGTGAAGGTTTTGAATAGCCATTGAGAAAGGTAATACAACAAAGGGTTTACTATAAAAAATTGTAATGAGATTATAGAAGAGTGTTAAGGGTACAGTTGAAATTGAATGCCAGTTATTTGCTTATTTATTATTATTTATTTATTATTTATTATAATATCTAGAATCAGTAAAATGGCAATTTTCTCCAGCTATGCTCATCAACCTGAGGATAGAAATAGAAAATATAGATGGTTCTATAAATCATTAGGGATTCGTGGGGCCCAGGTATTGATAACTGTTAAGAGCAGTTGGACTGAAGCAGTTTGGAATGAAGCATCTTGGAATCCAAGCAACAGTGATGGAAGTAAAGCCAGGTGGAGAACATCTGGAAAAGGAGAAGCAGTCAAGGATTGGAACTAATTCTTTTTGGCATCTGTACCATAAAACCAATCAAATGCCTTCAGAATCCCAGAATTGAATTATTGACATACTGCTGCCTTTTTTTTTTTTTGAGGAAGATTGGCCCTGAGCTAACATCTGTTGCCAGTCTTACCCTTTTTTATTTTCTTTTTTCTCCCCAAAGCCCCAATATGTAGTTGTACATCCTAGTTATAGGTCCTTCTAGTTCTTCTATGTGGGACGCCGCCTCAGCATGGCTTGATGAGGGGTGAGCAGGTCCACACCCAGGATCTGAACTGGCGAACCCTGGGCCGCTGAAGCAGAATGTGTGAACTTAACTGCTGCACCGCTGGCCTGACATACTGCTGTTTAAGCAGAAAACATATTACTGCCCTGAAGCAATGGATTAATTGTATGTGTCCACTATGAATGGACAATGCTGTACTCAAGATCCCCAATTCTTCATTTTTTGCAGCAGTAACAGCATAAATCTAAGGCAAAAGTCTATTCTAATGACCTGAAATTTTAAATCAGAGCAGATAGTAAACAGAAAAGAGGACCGGCCCAGTGGTACAAGCGGTTAAGTGCGTGCGCTCTGCTGCGGTGACCTGGGGTTCGCCAGTTCGGATCCCGGGGCGCACCGACGCACTGCTTGGCAAGCCATGCTGTGGCGGTGTCCCATATAAAGTGGAGGAAGATGGGCATGGATGTTAGCCCAGGGCCAGTCTTCCTCAGCCAAAAAAAAGAGGAGGATTGGCTGATGTTAGCACAGGGCTGAGCTCCTCACACACACAAAAAAAATAACTCAAACAATGGTCCTTGTATTCTTTTTTCTTTTTCATTGTAAGGTGAGTATCTACTTATCCATTTACATTTTTCTTCTTTCTTGTTTTTAGAAGCTCTGTAAATGAAGAAAATCAAGATGGCATCATGCACTCTGATGGTAAGGGGCAAAAAGATGTTTTATGTATTTATTTGTTACCTCAGATACAGAAGTTTGAGTTAATCATCCTCATAGGGTCATTAATGGGTCATTATCATCATTGGTCCATGCAAGACCCCTCTCTTGTTTTGCTTATTTGTTTATTCACGTTTATCTCCATGACCCATTCCCTTTCCTCTCTTCCACTTACCAGAGACAAATATTCTCAGGTATTTAATGTGTCTGTGTCTGTTTGTACATATTCTCTGCATACTATTGTATATGTGTATATATTTCAATTTACCTAGATAGTATGTTATAGCTCACTCTGGTCTTTTTTTTTACACTCAGCATAATATGTTTGGGGGCCCATCCATGTTACTATTTGTATATTTAATTTGTTGCTGTTAAGTATGCATTCACATTTTACCTCCAAGTCACTGGTACCACAAATAATAATTCAATGCACCTTCTTCTCCGTATCCCCATGTGGACCTCTGAGGAAATTTCCCTAAGATATATATCCAGCAGTGGAGTGGCTGCTCATAAGTTATAGAATATTTGATTTGAATGAGTAGAGTGCTCTCCAGAAGAGCTGTGTCTGTGTGTGCTCCCATCAGCAGGGCAGGAAGATTCCAAGATGCCTACCTTTCATCAGTGCATAGTGTTATTCAGCTTTCCAACTGTTTCCAGTCTTATATGTATAAAATATCTCATTTCATGTTCATATTTCTGCTTACTATCGAGTTCGAGTACTTCATTTGTTTATTAGCCTCTGTGGTTTCCTCTTCTGTAAGTTGCCACTTCATATCCTTTGACCATTTTTTTCTTGGGGTTGGTATCCTTTGCTGGTTGACTTGCAGAGGTTCCTTTGTATTCCAGATATTAATCCCATGTCAGTTGCAGACATTGCAAATATCTTCTCTCATGCTGTCCATGGTTGATTAACTTAGCCCGTGCTGTTCCTCACTGAACAGAAATAAATTTTGATATAATCAAATTAATTAATAGTTACTATGTAATTTATACTTTTTAAGTTTTATTTAAGTCCTACCCCTAGGAAATAAAAATCTTGTCTTCTATGAACTTTTCTCCTTGTACTTAGGTCTTTGATCTCTTTGCAGTCCACCTTTGTGGAGTTAGTAGAAATCCAGATTTGTTTCCTTACATATGGAACCAGTTTTCCCACTACCATACTCTGAAATCCACCCTTTTCTCATTAATTTATAATACCACCTTTATACTATATCAACTCTTTAGGTGTGTATGTGTCTATGCGTATATACGTGTGTGTTCATGTGCACATTACTTGCGTGTATATATGTGTGCATGTAAATTTATGTGTCTGTCTCTGACCTCTCTGTTCTATTCCTTTGGTCTATTTGTTCCTATACCAACACCACATTATTTTTATTATTTTTGTTTTAGATTCTCTTAATATCTAGTAATTTCTAGTAATTAGTTGATATTACTAAACACTTGAGCATTAAAATTAGATTTTAAAAATTCTAATAAATTTGATTTATTTGATAGATAAAAGCAAATCCTTGGGAACAAATAAGTCAAAAACTACAAACTAGTTGTGATTTTTTGGATAATACCTTTGTTGCACACAAGCCCACAAAACCAAATGTACCTGTTATTCATTTATTTATTTTTTTGGTGAGGAATATTGGCCCTGAGCTAACATCTATCACCAATCTTCTTCTTTTTGCTTGAGGAAGATTGTCCCTGAGCTAACATCTGTGCCAGTCTTCCTCTATTTTTTTATGTGGGAAGCCGCCACAGCACGGCTTGATGATCAGTGGGTAGGTCCAGGCCCACAAACCCTGGGCCACTGAAGCAGAGCATGTGAACTTAACCACTATGCCACCAGGCTGGCCTCCGTCAAACATACTTGCTTTTCATAAAGAAAATAAAGAGTATCTTCATAATTTTGGGGTTTTTGCATTATTTTGTGAAAGCCAATGAAATGATTTTGTAATTAAATTACAAGTATCAAAAAAGCCATAGTAAGGATCTAAACCACATATTCTATTTTGTACTTCTATATCTTTGATAAAGTATAAGTTCAGTTACATTATGAACTGTTTTAATATTATATTACATCTAATATTCCTGTATTAAAGTACTTCTTAATTACAGTATATTAAATTTTATTCTTTTTTTAAACTTTTTAGGTACTGGAAATCTAGATGAGGTCAGTTTTTTTTCCTTCTCATATTTATGTTTCTGTAACTAGAATATTTTACAATTATTGTGATTTATTTTTTATTGGTACAAACCAACAAATGAAAATTCTTGTAAGTAATATGATATTTTTCCATTTATAATCTTATTTCATCAAAAATGCTTGAGACATAAAACACCAATCATTACACTGACTCATAGTAATAGTATAGCACTAAACATAAACTTAAGTCTGGCTAAACATCTGAATTATATAACAGGATATAAAATGAAATCTTTCTAAGCTTACTTTCTCAGTATATCTCTAAAGAGGAAAAAAATATTTTAAACAAGTCAAATTTACATACGCTTAAATTTTTGCTTGTTTTACTAAGTATTTGATCAATGTAATATATGTATGTTCCCTTTTTGAATAATTAAAGTTAATCATTATTAATGTTTTTCTTGACAGGAAGAAGACAGTGAAGGAGAAACATATGAAGACATGTATGAGTTACATTTCTTACCATGACATTTTCCTTCTAAGTTGAATATAATGATTTGCATGAGGGAGAGTAGATGAATTTCGACACTACGGGGAAAAGCTTTCTTGCTCAAATGATTGGCATATAATGATAACCTTTATTTCAATACAAAGGACTAACGATTCTTTACTTGTCTAAGGATTTTACAGAGGACTCTGTTAAAAGGCTGTCGTATGAGAGGCCAGAGGCTTGCAGCCTACTCGATAGACCACAGACAGGGAATCATGGAACCAGGAATCTGCGTTTCTTGTTCTCAGTGTGTCCTTGGGCCAATGAATTCACTTATATGTGACAACTTCCTCACCTAGGCCGTGCTTCACCTCACAAGGGTGCTATGAGAAATACTTTAGCACAGCACCAGATGCTGTGCTACTAGTAGGCTGAGGCCTGCTAAAGTGGAAAGATATTAAACATAGCTCCAAAATGGGTTTCTGGGTGGCCCAGGACTAAGAAATTTCTTGGAAAATGAGTGAAAGTAGAAATGAATATGTTATTTTATCTTTTATTGATTCAAATATCTTAATTTTCTCTATCCAGTTCTTATTCAACCAATTCTGACTAAAGTTTCGGCACTAAGGTTTGCACATATGCACGTGTGTGCTCACGTCTCCCTGTGAGTGCATGGCGTGAAAGAGAGAGAGATTAACTTTATTCATGTGGACAGGCAGCAAGAACAGGGCCTCTGTCAACAGTGTCTTCCGCTTGCTGGCACAAGCTGTAAGGGGAAGCAGAGCCTTTGGAAGGCATCCTCAGTGGTGCACCTCCTACTGGTTAAGAACAATATCACACGCCTAGGAATTTTGACAACCCGTGGCTTTTCACCTTCATCCACACTTCAGATACTGTCTTCTCTCGTGGGTAAAACCTCTCTGGATAGTAAGCCCTAACCCATCAATGCCTGCAGATATTGAAACAACCTAACAATTTTTATCTACAGAGAAGCATCCAAAGAAAGAGAGAAGAGAAGGGAAAAGGAGGAAAAGAAGAGATTAGAGCTGGAGAAAAAGGAACAGAAAGAGAGAGAAAAGAAAGAACAAGAAATAAAGAAGAAATTTAAAGTAAGAGCCTGCTTACTGATGGGTAAAAAATAGTAACCTCTTTTAATAACTTGCACACAAAAGGGGCACCATTCTTGAAACCCTGCATGGTTGGATAATTACTTAATTGTTGTTTTCTAAAGAGTAACCACCTTCATAACAGTAATTTTTTTGTTCAATACTCTCCTTTATCCCTGCACTAAAAATGTAATACGATAAAATCCAAATAAAATATGGTGGCTTATAATTAGTGGGCACCCAGGGAATTTTATGTTGATTCAGTGAACGAATACTGGGTTACTCATACCCCTCTTGGCTCTTCTCGTTACACATTTCATATTAACCTGTACTACGAGCTGAGGACCACACACATAGCTATCCCTGCAGCATGTATTATAGCGAGGCAAGGGACACAGGTGTCTCCGGATGAACCAGATCTGTCTCAAAATAAAGTTTCTATGAGCTACTCTAACTGCCAGGGTCCAGACCTGACTTACATTGTTGCCGTTATTTTAAGCCTGTGTGCATTATTGACTTCTGATACCTTCTGTTTGTCATCCCTCCTCATCTAGCTGGATTTCTGACCTCTGTCTTCTCTAATCTCTGATTTCTAATGGTCCAACTTCTATCACTACCCCCACTAACACTACACCTGCAAGCTATATTCTCTTGGCTACACCATCGTTGATGATGTGACCCATCTGGTATGGGTCTAGTATGTCAGCTGTATTTAGAGTGATTATCTGAGTTACAAAACTATTCTTAACTTTAAAAAGGATTCATATCGACTTTCCTTTAAATATTTAATTCCTCTGGAACATTTAATATATGGCTTGAATTATAAAAATTTGGTTTATATATAACTTCCCAGTATATTTATTATATTAAAACAAAGGTTCAACAGTATGGTGCAGGGAAAATGTAAAGCTTAGAGTCAAATGGACAGATGTGGATTCAAATTCTAGCCGTACATGCGGGTTATGTGATTGTGGGCACGTTACTAAACTTCTCTGAACTTCAGATTCTTATTCTTTAAAGTGAGAATAAATGATAACTCTCCTGAAAGTTTGCTGTGGAATTAAATAAAATAGTGCACATAAGGCACTGTATCTATTATAGGTTCTCATTAAATTTTGAAAAAGTTTACTATATATAAGTAAAATTAAGATTACAATGTGAATAGTGAAGCATTTTACTCATACAGAATGTGTGGCTACCAACATTTATAGTTTTCAAGTGGAAAGTATAAAAAATTAATTCCTTAAATGAAAATCTTCATAACACACGTTTTATGAAGAGATTGTTTATAGTTTTGGGGAATTATGTGAAGTGTTTCCTTGTGTTTCTTTTGGAGAAATCAATTTGGCGTTGTTTCACTCATTCATTCAAATTGTATTTTTTAGTAAGAAAAAAATAGAGTATGGAAACCATACCACTAAATACGAACTCAAAAGTTTGGCAAGACTAGGACTTCACAAGCTATATTCCTTCCACAAAATGTTAATAGATGTTAAAATTAAATAAATAAATGTGGAAACTGTTACATAGCACCATATTTCATTAATTCTAAGACATAAAATATCTCATAGTTTAAAATTCTGAAATTAGGATGCATCTTAACATTATTGGCATAATTTAAATTAAGCTGTTTTCTTTTCTTAGTGGTACATAATTAATGAAATGTCTCACAATTCATAGCATCATAAGTGCAGTAAAATGAGACAGAGCTTCTTCAAAAATCACAATGCATATTTGCATATCAAAAGACCCAAGAAATTCTGTTGAAAAGACACCAATTTAGGATTAGGAAATGAGGAGTTTAGAATTCTTGATCTAAACTAGTTATTCTCCTGCCATCAAGAAACCACTGCACTATTCAGGATATTAATTTTTAACACCTTGCATAACATTTGTGTCCTATTTTTTTATTCACAAAGCTACTTCTAAAATGTCATCTTATTTATAGCAGGTAATATCTACTCTAAATTTATAGATACACATAGCACAACATTAAAAAAAAAAAAGTGGAGGGGCCAGCCCAGTGGCCTAGTGGTTGGGTTCACACACTCCGCTTCGGCAACCCGAGTTCGTGAAATGGGATCCCAGGCGCAGACCTACGCACCACTCATCAAGCCATGCTGTGGTGGCGTACCACACACAAAATAGAGGAAGATGGGCACAGATGTTAGCTCAGGGCCAATCTTCCTCAGCAAAAAAAAAGGAAAGAAGATGCTTTTCCAACAAGTACAACCCACCACCACCTACCCTTCCCTTTGCTGTTTTAGGCCTGTGGAGAATCATCAGAATAACTACACAATGCAAAGAGGGAAAAAGCCTCTGTCTGCCAAGCAGACCACCAGCATATTCCATAAAAACACATAGTACCCAGCGTGGAATGTCGTACGTAAATGGTATTTGGTTCTCAGTGGCTTCCTTTGCGATCCTTTCACAGAGTTCCTAAGGTCAACAGATCACTGCCACTCTCCCGGACCCCAAGCACGTGCTTACCTGTCCTTTGCTGGTTCTGCCTGACCTCTGTGATTTTTCCCCTCCTGTAAAAACATTCACCAGGAATGACACTCCCCCTCAATTTCTAGTTCAAACCTGTAAATGTTGGAAATAGGCAGGTTGGCAAGTTGTGGATGTATTGTCTTTCAAAACTGCATCCCTTAAAGAGTTTCTAAATAGTAAGGAATCCTGTTGTGATTCTTTTTTTCCTCTTTGCAGCTAACAGGCCCTATTCAAGTCATCCACCAAGCAAAAGCTTGCTGTGATGTCAAAGGAGGAAAGAACGAGCTGAGCTTCAAGCAAGGAGAGCAAATTGAAATAATCCGCATCACAGACAACCCTGAAGGAAAATGGCTGGGCAGGACAGCAAGGGGGTCATGTGAGTGCAAATTTCCGATGACTTCAAGGTGTTGTCTTTTTGAGCCAATATTAAATGTGCAAATTCTTCCAGAACTACTCATAAGCATTAAGTTAGGAGTGTTTTACAGGGTGGACAAAGAGAGGAAGATTTAAAATAACAGGCACAGTCCCATCTTCACCTCATCTGTGTTATCTTTTTAATGAGCAACAATGTAAATATTTATATTATTCCAGGGGGGAGCAAAGGGCATTCAGTTCTTCACTGATGTTAAAAGGAAAAAATGATAGAGGAAGATTGGCACAGATGTTAGCTCAGGGCCAATCTTCCTCACTAAAAAAAAAAAAAAAAAAAGGAAAAAATGATTCATGTGAATCGCTTTGGAATCTTTGAAATAGACTCTAGGCTTACCCCAAACCACAACAGCATAAGACTTTGACAAAGTACAGTAAAACGTATCTACATGGAAAGTCTATAAATCAGAATTGCAAGCAAAGAAATGAAGAGAGATTTTAAAGAGCAAATGTGCAATTGATATTTTATTCACAACTTTAAAATATTTAAACTACAGTTACCTGAACAGAGATCATTTCTCTTTTGGTAGACGGCTATATTAAGACAACTGCTGTAGAGATTGACTATGATTCCTTGAAACGGAAAAAGAACTCTCTGGGTGCTCTTTCAAGACCCATGGAAGATGACCAAGAAGTATACGATGATGTTGCAGAGCAGGATAATGTTAGCAGGTATGTGCAAATACAAACTGTAAAGCAGATCAGACTGTCTCCTTGTCAGAGATTCTGTATTTTAAGATCCTAGAATTTTGCCTTCTATATTTCCTACGGCTGTCTATCAGTAAACTAAATTACCAATATGAGCGAAAGATCATTTGAAACTCCATAGTCTTTTATTGTACTCTTTGGTTATACGTATCAATACTACTTGAAATATAATGGGCCATTTGCCAGATCTTGCCAAATGTGTTGTCATTCCAAAATGCTGTTTTATAATACTCATTCTGATTTGATCTTAGGATTATGCCTCAAGTAAATATGATTTTGTAAAACATGAAGCATGAAATATAGGATTTGGCTCTAAAAAATATAAATTTTTTTTGCCTTGAAATCTCTAAGCTTAAATAAATTTGTTGTTCTTATTTGAAAATATAACAGAGAAAAAGAATGCTTTTTACTACAACTCTACTTTGTTCTTTAAAAGTAAAAAAGTAAAAGCTCAATTCTCTATAATCCCTGGGAATCAACCAAGGGTCCAACTTTCCATGCCCCATTCATTCCACTAGATTAGAGTAACCTTCCCCACAAGAATTACGGGAACATCTTGCTAGAGCAGAGGAACAGAACAAGACATCCTTTTTGGAGGAGCCAAGAGGGGAGAGTGGCCCTCTTCTCCACGTACGTCTTCTTCCCTTCTTTCTCTTCTCAGTCTTCAGTTTCCTTTCTCCATGCCTGCTTTTCTGTCTCTTTTTCCTAACTCTGATCTTCTTTGCCCTTTCTTCTCCTTGCTTTTCCGTTCCCTTTCTCCTTTCATTTCTTCTTTCCTCCAATATCTCCCTTTCCTGATAAAGTCACAATCCCTTCAGGTTGCAGGAAAGGGAGGAGGAAAATCTCCAGCCAGTTAAGAATCCTCGTTTTTCTATGCCCACTTTGTGGAATTGGGACACTTCCACTATGATCCCAAAACACATGATCTGTGCTAGATCTTCACTTGGGTAAAAATGTGTCTGCATTCTTCATAACTCAAATTTCAAAGAAAAAAATGTTTTAAATTATCAACCATTTAAAAAATATAAAACTATCAAAATAGCAATATACTTATAAGACATATGAAGAATGAAGTTCCCTCTTGTAGTCTTTTACCTCATGTCATCAGTAAAACTTTTTGTGTTGCTTTCTGGCAGTTTTGTCTTTCTAAAATGAATTGTAGCCTGCAATGCGTTCCTACCATGTTATGGCCATAAATTATACAACATATATAAAAACATGCAATGTATGCACTGGAGTTTACAGATCATAAATTGGCTTTAGTAATCAGAAACACATTGATTTAGTTTGTAAGTCACTAAATATCATTTTTGAGGTCAGTTGAAGCTCTAAGTGGCCATATTCTGAGATTTACAGAATTTTCTGGCTATGAGTATGTCATTCTACATATATTATCAATGTATATACTTTATGTTTATCTTTTATTTATTTCTTAAAAAACCCATTTCTCTTATTTTGACATTAAAGAACCCTGGTTATATTAATAAATACGTATTTACACTGATGCACATACTCAGGAAAAAAATAATAAATCCACAAAAAAGGGATGATGTTCTTAAAATGAAACATTATTTAACCATAATAAGTGCCTATTTTCCAAAACTATTACCTTTTCCATTTTATCAAGTCCATAAAACCACAACTCTAAAAGACATGCTCTAGTTAGGAAACATGTAGCAGAAAAACAATTTTCTATTTAATAAAATGGGGTTGGAGGAGGTGTATGATTTTAATGCTCAATATCTTAAACAAGTATAGCACCACAATATTTACTAGCATCTATTTCTCCCTCATGCATATTTAATAAGAAAATGAAAGAAGAGACATAATTTCTACACAAGTTTTGTTTTTGAAACTACAGCTGCTGCTGGCAGAGATCTCATAACAGAACATGCTTTGTCCTTAGTAGAACAAGGAAAGATGCTGACTATAACCAGCAGCTTGCCCTGGCAAGAATAAGAGAAGGCACCATCCTCTCCTCCCTCCTCTAGATGCCTCCTGGTTCCTTGCTCTCTTTACCTGCCCTTTCCAGATTCCTCCAGGGTAAGGAGAGCTGACTGTGCACTTCAAACCCTGTGAGCAGACAGGAGGCTTAAAAGCACAGGTCCTGACAGCTGTTCTTCTCCCTTTCTTCTCAACTAATGTAATTTCTGTAATAAATATGAAAAGATGAAGGAAAGAAAATTACAAATGCAAATACCTCTCCTCCATCACATAAGAAATTTTCTTCCACGTATGTTTCCCAACATTTTTCCTTCCATTTATCCTTTCCTCTTTCTCTTCCCTTCTCTTTTCTCACATTCTCCTCTTCTCACAACTATTCTATCTGTTAAATGTTTTGTGTTCTAAACAGACCATTTCAAGAAGTTGAAGAATTGCTCTGGGAATGAAATAATGTGTGGCAGCTTTGCTCCTGATTATTATAACCCCTTTCTTTGGGAATTAGCTATAAGAATCTCCAAGATGAAATATGTTTGCCAGGAGTGGCAGCCAACCAAAATCGCAGTTTCTCACATAATTCTAACTGTCTGCTTCATGCTCAAAGGGAAGTGTCAGAGAAAATAAATGTGAAAATAGTATGTAAGCAAGTGGAGAATATACTTAAACTTTATGAAAAGTCAATTCCTTATTTATATATTAAGACATTTGTAGCATGTTTTTCTACAAAGTTCCATTAGCAGGAGTATGTTTTTATTTATAAATTGATTGTACATCTATATCAGAGTAATTTCTTTTACTCTGGCTTTAAGGTTGAGGAATCAGATATGAGTGTATAATTATACTGTGTGGTTGTAACATCAGACTGATATATGTTGCTGGCAGATTATCCAAAGGGCAAAAATGGCGGTACAGAGAATGCAGCAAAGTAGCCAAAACAACGTTATACGGGAAGGCAGGACACTGAGGTTCTTATCTCAGCTCTTCAGTTAATTAAAAGTGGGCTTGGTCAAGTCTTAATTTCTCAGAGGCTCAGTTTCTTTTCTGCAAAATGAGGGCATTGAACCAGACAACTTCTGAGATTTTTCCAGTTCTCACCATCTGTACTTCCTTTGCTCTCACAGAATTCACATTTTAGTGAGAGACACAGGAAATAAAATAAACGATTATAAAATAGGGAAATATAGAATGTTATAGAGATATATAAAAAAAATACAGGCAATCTGGATTTAGAGAATCAGAGGCCACACTATATAAAATCCTCATGAATGGGATTTTAATTTTTTAAAAGTTCTCCCTTTAAAAAAAAGTTTAACGCTATTGGACTAAGAGTAAAATGCGTGATTCTAAGATATTGAAAGAGAATTGAATTGAATGCAATGATGGTTCTATATGACCCCTGCAATAATACTCTTGTTTTTTGTTTTTTTTTAATGTCTGTCTATGAAATGATGTAATAATGTATAATCTGAAAACTGCCTCATGGGAAAATGTTAGAAGGAAACAGTGTCATTGTTTTGAATACGTTTTATAGTACTGAAACTCACTTGATTCTTATTAGGTTTGTTTGTTTTGTTTTGTTTTTTGATCGTTATTACTCATCTATTACCATAAAGAACAATTTTTCTTCCTCTTCACATATAACATCCTGATAACTTTTAACTGGAATATTATTTCTCCTTGATATAACTGCTCAATATATGTACTTCTCTTCCTGATAGCTAAATAATTCATATTTAATTTAATTTTTCTGATTTTTTTCTAGCCACAGTCACAGTGGAAGTGGAGGTAAGCCACACACTTTTATCAGCAGTTTCTCCAAGTCTTCACATTTTTGTGTATATTAATGACAAAAAGCTTTCATTTGCAAATAATGAGGAACATCTTAATGTGGTAGAAAGAACACTGAACTGGGAACTAATGACCTGGATGCCAGTCCTGGCCATGACTGACCCTGAGCAAGTCACTTCTTTCTTCCAAGTTTGTTAGGGGTGGTAGGATAGCTCTGTTTCTAGTGTGCCCAGGGCAGTCTTGATTTATGCCAGTCGTCTGAACACAATTATTAATAGCATCCCGCTTCTCTTTCAAAAGTATCCTTGTTTGGATGATAACCTATATGGTCACCTTAGCTACAACTTCTAAAGACCTCTCTTTTTCTCCTCAACAAAATAAGGGAATTTCACTAATACCTTGCAACGCTAAAATTCTCATCCCCAAAGTCAAATTTCAAGTTCATTGTACATATTCCTGCACAGAGAAGTTACTCAATAAACATTTGTTAAACAAATATTTGTCAAATAGCAAGGTTCCTGAGGAGTGTAGGATAACAAATCAAACAAGAAATGGTTTAACTTTTAAAATATCACTTTGATGAAATGAAATAAAAGAAATGAAAGGTCACCTTTTTTTCAGCTACCATCAATGTTTACAAATTCACCTTTAATTCCATTTGCTTTTCTTCGCTTATCTATCGATCAGTATCTTTCTTCTGAATGTTTCCTCACTATTAATTAATTTTTTATCACCGCCTCCCTTCTCCTTTTCCATAATAAATATTTAACTCTACCCTCTATTCAATTTTACTTTTTCTCATGTTTATTCTCCCCCATTCTTTTCATCTCCAGTGCACAGTACCTTTTATCATCCTCATGTCTTTATTATACTTTACCTCTAAGAATTCCTTATAAAATAATCAGCAATTAATTTACCTACTATCTATGTGAGAGTGGAAAAATAAAGTTATTTTTATTTAAATGGTTAATATGAAAGAGAGATGCTTTCTGCATTTAAATAAAGGCAGATTTATTATCAAATTTTGAGTGACCATTACTTGACAAAATAAAATTAACCGAAGGTTCCCCCCCCCATTCCAAATGAAGGAATGTTCCCACCACCCCCAGATGATGATATTTATGATGGGATCGAAGAGGAAGACGCCGATGATGGGTAAGAATAATCAGCGAATTGCCTTTTTGCAAATTATTGTATATACTGAAATTTAGTTTTGATCTCCAGTTAGAATAAAAAGCAGAAAATAATGTTCCTTATTACATTACAAAAAGTGATTTGAATGTTTAATTAACAGCAGTAGTAACTCAAGAAATGTAATTGCACCACACTTCAAATGAAGTGGTATATTGTTTGGAAGAATCTTGACAACTATGTCAAAAGAAGTGAAATAAAAGAGGGACAAAGAATTACAGGTGTTGTAGATAATTTTTTTCAGACTTTTCCCAATCAATTATTTATCAATCAATAATTTACTTTTACAACAATCTCTGGAGAGTTTATCAGTTGCAAGGCTATCCTTTGTATAATAATCATAGTTATAGGCAACCCAAATAAATTGAGACCATATACTATTTGTGGCAAAACCAGCATTGAATATTTAATCCTTTAATTGTTTAAACTTTTAAAATGGCATATTTTAAAATTTAAGATCTTTTAATTACTTAATTTTAATCATAAAATAAAGCTAAATTGATATTTAAAACTTAATCCTGACTTAGCTTGCTATTTTAAGAACCAAAAGAAATCTCATTAAATAGAAAAAAATAATTTACCTAGTAGCAGCAGTATTCAAAGACCATGATCTATAAGCTTACTAGCATCATCTTGCTGTGTATAATGAGTAACGTACTGCCTGAGTGATCAATGCAGTATAATTATAAAAAATATGAATGTCCACCAAATGTCTTCACGTTCCACTGATTATTCCATTCTGATCAATGCCTGCATGCTCCTAAGCTCCACGCTACAGGTTGAAGAGAAGAGTAACTCGTGGTCCTGGGGGATTTTGAAGATGTTAAAGGGAAAAGATGACAAAAAGAAAAGTATACGAGAAAAACCTCAAGTCTCTGAGTCAGACAATAATGAAGGTTCATCGTAAGAGTCGACCAACCAAATCCAGTGCACAATAACTATATTAATATTAATTTAATCAAATGCTACTAATATTGTATAACCAGTAACCAAATTCTGGTAGGCCTAAACCATTTTAATGTTATTTTCCATTGCTCATCTTAGCCTCATTGACTGTGTTACCCTTGAACTCATGCACTTACATGAGAAGAGCACAAAGTAATTCAAAAATAGTCATATGGTTCAAAGACATGTTAAACAAAGATATGTTCCCTACAAGCATGCACAAATACACATGCACATACACAGACATGCACGCACACGGACTCTCACACACTCAGACACACCCACACACTCCATTTAGTAGGATTTTTTTTTAACTGTAGCATCACATCTAAAGCTCATAATTCCAACACCATATTTTATTATATAATATTTTATATTGACAACTCTTCAAAATATACATTCTCTTTTAAAAATTAATTTACTAGAAATAAAGAACACAATTTGGAATTTCTTTTCTCTAAACACAGTATTTAAAGTCTTTGTAACTCTGTTCCACAATAGTGATATACTAATTCTATTTAAATTGTATATTTATCCTATACTAAAATTATTATAAATATCTTCAGTTTGTCTAAATAAAAACTAAAGCATGAATTTTCTCTTTCCATCCAGAAATAACCCTTTAGTAAAAATTCCAAAGATATAAATTTGAAGGATCTTAATCATGTTTGCTGGTGTAGGATATTCTTATTGTTTTATATATACCTGATAAATTCACCGTACTTAACTGAAGTCTTTATAAGATGTTAATTCCATATGGAATTCCTAATTTTAAACCGTTTTGTGAGACACTAAAACAACACTCAATAAACAGGACACTTAAAATTGTAAGTAAACATAACAAATCTTCTCTTGATGCAGAATTAGTCAAATACAGTCCTTACTTAGAAATAAAAGCAGAGATTATTTTTCCGCTCCAATTTCACACCACCTAATTCTATTTTGGATCATTTGAGCTAATGACCTCTCACACATTCGTGTGACTGTGCACCATTCTTCCAATGATGTGTGTGTGTGTGTGTGTGTGTGTATGTTTAAAGTTCAGAAAGTAATAAAAGCAAAGGTCTTTTCCTTTTGCAACTAAATGCCAATCAATCCTTATTTCAGATCACTTCTATTAATAAGCTCTCCCTCTCTAGTTTCAGTGGATATTTCTTTCTTATTCGCCATTCTCCTGTTTGGGGATATAAATGTACAAATTGGGGAAACATGGTGATATAAAGATTCCTATGACCTTTGTTGATTTCGACTCTGCATTTCTACTCTTTGAGGCAAGTAAACAGTTCTGGGTCTGATCTATGCCACGATGACTCCAAAATATTGAGTCCATTTAATTTACTTTGGTGTGATAATATGCCCAAACCTCATAGGACAAATCTGAAAACATTGGTCCAATGGCTATGGGCAAAATGAACTGCTGAATGTCTTGACTCTCAAATTTTTTGGCCAACATTGGAGTTCAAAAAAAGTCTTGCTAAATTCCAAATTGATGGACAGAAACTGGGACTTAGTGGAGAAATGGAGGATGAGAAAGGAATGATGGTCAACAGATTAATTCACCTTTATAAGCCTCTGGGCTGTTACTTGTTCACGCCTTTCCTAAACAAATGACTCAATATCCAGGTTTATATTAGTCTGATTAAAATTGTGTTCTCATTTTCCTTCTAGTTTCCCTTCTCCTCCTAAACAGTTGGGTAAGTAATGAAAACTAATTGTATATTTTATATCTTATTTCTTGCATGTGGGGTAGTGGGAAAGCAGTGGATATAGTCGTGATCGCTGGATTAAAGTCCTGACTCTGAAAATAATAAATTGTGTAACCTTGGGCAAGTAACTGCACCTTGGGTGGCCCCAGTTTCTCAACAGTAAAATAGCAGGAAGAGGAAAATAAAAAAGATCGATGGTTTTTAAACCGTTTTTCTAGGAGTTGTAGGGATCACTATGGAGAAAGGAAGAAACAGGCAGAGATAGACACCAGCATCTCCCGTGTTCCCCATCCCAATTCAGTCAGAGCTTAGTATATATGGACTTCTGCACAAAGATTTCTAAAAACATACCAGACTATATGCTGCCAAGACTCTTCTAAATCTAAATTTCTTTGATTTTTTTTTAATGTATAATTTATATTGTATTTGGAAAATTTCCCATTGCTGAATGTAACAGTTTCTTTTTTGTACAGTTTAATCAGCTTGTTTTTTTCCACCTGCTGAGATAGATCTTTAAAAGATTTTTCTTAAGTTTACTTTGAACAAAATAAAATGTTGTCTCACAAGAATATGCAAGGGCTTTCAAAAAGTTTACTTTAATTTACTTTAATTAAATACATTAAAAGAGCAAAACAAACACAGAGATAATCTATTCTTCCAGACTGTTTATCTGACTTTGTTTTTCGTTATCAATTTGAAAATACATAAGGCACTAATGCAAGTTGATCAATAACTGATGTGCTTACATCTTAATCTATAATTTTCAAACAGTGTTCAAGAAGCTTAGCGCCACAGAGAGTAGGTATAAAATGGAACAGATGTGATCAATTCAGTAAAAAATGTTTTTTGTTTTAGTTTTCCTTTGTTCTCAAGTGTGTTTTAAGGGCATGTGCATGACATAGTAATTTTTCCCCTTCTAGAAGCAAATGATATATCATATTTTCATGTATTTATTATGGATTCTTCATACAGCTGAGCAAGTTTTATCCTGTGAAATTAATTAACCTGAATGCGAGGAGAGTACACACACACACATGTATATATATATGTGCACAGTATATGTATATACTGTATACATATATACAGAGAGAGAGAGGAATTTTTAAAGGAAATCAAATTTTTGCCATTACCAGAAAGCATTTAATCTTCCTATGATAATCATTCCTTAAAACATTTGTACTCTCTTCAACTCATCTCTTTAGATTAGTTTACTGGGAGGCAACTTAATAGGTGCAGAAAGGAAGCATTCTTTCTGACTTTATTAACAAGAAGTCTAGAAGGAAGAAAAGTATCTACAGATTGGAAAAGCCATTGAACCAGTTAAGGTCATGGCAACTTTCTACCATACTGATTCTCAATACCTGCTCTTATCAGAAGTCTTATATTAATAGAAATATTCTGTCTATTTTAAGGTGGTACCACACCTAATATTACTATAAGGTAGAAGTTAGATGATAGATAGATAGATAGATAGATAGATAGATGATAGATAGATAGATAGATAAAGACATAATCATAGACGTAGACATATTAATAAAATGATATATATTATCAGACCACCCCAAATCCAATAAGAGTCTTAATTTCAATCCCTACTGCCTACTGCCTACTGCCGACTGCCAATGACAGTGGAAAAAACCTTGATAATAATAGTTACAGTCATGGTGACTGGTTTTTTGGAGGGAAATTTAACACATGTATCCATGGAGATAAGAATCTCTCCCCTTTAAGGACCAGACAATGCTTCCAGGAGAAATGTACTCAGACACTAGGAAAACTTCTTTCATTGTCCTTGAAGCAATCTTTATATTAAAAACATCATTGAATACCCACATCAAAATTTAAACTAACAGTGTTTCCACATTTGATATTTTTTCTTTTGGTAGACATGGGAGATGAAGTCTATGATGATGTGGATGCCTCTGATTTCCCTGCTCCACCACCAGAGATAAGGTAATTAAGATGTTTTCATTACAGTGAAAATGAGGTTGCTCAAGAAAATTTAACTGGAATAAAACTGAGATGGGGTGTGTGTCTACTGTGTGTGATCGTGTTCCCTGTCATCCTCTCCCTGATCCCAGGCCTAACATCTCTGCTAAGTTTGTGAGTGGACAGCCCTGATCTTCCTCCGCATCCTCCTCTCTCTCCCTTCCCCTCCCCCTCTCCCAGCGGTTCTGCTCTTTGTCTCCTGACTATCCTCTGCCCTGATGTCTGCATTCGTTTATTCATTCACTCACTGGGAAAAAGTTTGAGAGCCTGTTCACAACTGATCTCACTGAATCATCTCCTCCCTTTATTTTTACTCTTTTCCTAAAACCTTTTTTGTCTTGAATACACTTCTTAGTTTATATCTCAACCCTCACCCACCTTGTTCAAGTCCCCTCTGTCCTTCACAAGATTGTTCCTTTTATGAAGAAAAGATTTGTGTTTTAAAAGGACTTTTAGTTATGTCTCTTTTTCACAAAAGCATCAGGTTCTCAAAGTTTCCATTCAAATTTCAAAAAAAAAGTGAACAATGAATACTGACATTCTTCACCTCACCTAAGTTTTCAATTTAATTTTAGGCAAAAATTGTATGAAAATCTCTTAAGCTCAGTTAATACAAAAGCAATACCTTTTGAAAATTCTTAGGAAAACTCTTAGGATGCTTTTTTACACTACAATAAAAGTGTGAAATGGTCTGATACATACTGTGTATAAAAGCAAGAACACCTCTCTGGCTTTTTCAAGAAAAAAAAAAAGGTGAATAAAAAGATCTTGGACTTGATTATTTAAAGGATGAAAGTAACATAAATGGAATATGAGAATGGTGTCTTCTGAGCTGTACTGGTAAAAATGCATGTGTGAACTCTACATATTTATTTTTTACCAACATTGTTAAAATAATTTTACTGAACAAGAGGCAGTATCCACATCAAAGAAAGTGAAGGAAAAATAGGCAATCGTTTATATATGAAGATCAAGTTCTGCAGGCTAAACAAACAAGAAAAATGAAACGAGAATCATTCTCCTTTTTCAGTTCTCCATGAAAGGAAAATCTATTCTTCTCCAGGAATATGTTGAGTTTTAATATTCCTCACAATCAGGAAGTCGCTTCTATCCCTGACAGTTTTTAATGCATTTTTCTATTTCATATTACTATAGAAATGCCACCACATTCCATAAAAGAGCTCTCTAGGAACCCAGAGTCACACATTGGCCCTTTTCTTCAAGCAAAATAAACCCCAGCTGATTAAACTTTATGTGATATGTAGTGTTTTCTTTCTTGTTGCTTATTTTCAAAGTTTAAGACAATTTTATGTTCTCTAACATAGTATTCTATTTTTAAATAAATTGTTTTCAAAGAGAGCTTGTGGGGCATTTTTAACATTCATGTATAGTCTTGTAGCTCCAGAGTGCTAATTGGGGACAGCAATTCTGCTACCACCTGGAGTGCCATAAGACAGGAGATACCAAGGGAGGATGCAGAACCTAAGACAGAGTATTGTGCTAATTCATTTCACAGTGAATGGACTAAATTCTAAGGTTCAAAACTTAAGGATCAAACATTTTAAATAAATCAGTTACAAACAAAACTTTATCTTAGGTAATCTTAATAAAAATTAATATCAGTGTTTAAAACTTTCATTGTTCACAAATATTCTGGTGTTTTAAATTCCTTTCTGCAGAGGTTCACAGCCTTTCCCTAACAACCGTATTTAACCCTATCAAATGGTTCTCAAACTTGACTGCAAATTAGTATCACCTAGGGAGCTTTTCAAATATGTATGTCAGCACCTGGGCCCCACTCAGTCTAATTAACTCGAATTTAAAATTAATTTAATTTAATTAGAATTTCTAGGAATCTGGCAAGGATGGTGGCATTTTTCTATAGCTTTTCAGGTGATCCTATACGTGGCCAAGCTGGAGAATTGCTATTTTAGGCTTATTCACCTTTCTTACGATAATTGGCTTTAGTCCAGCTGGTATCTATGAGATACAGATACCAACTATATGTATATGTATACATAGATACATATGCCTAGATCCTAGAGCTTTTAGAAATATATTAAATCCATAACTGATGAAAACATTTAGAATATGTTTGCTGTCTCTCTATTTCTCTCACACACACACAAAATGGACAATTGATAAAGGGATTAAGAAGCTCCTTTTTATAATATCTAAAATTTAACTTTTACCTAAGATTTTTTTATTAATCAACGTTTGCTACCTCCCACCCTGGCTCCGTTTTAAGTAGATATGAGAAAACTAACATATAGATTAACTTGATAAACCATTGATGTTGGCCAAGCCACTTAATTATCTAAGAAGGGTTGAAAAATATAGAGGGTTCCAGAATAGGTTGAATCATATGAAACCACTGATATGTAACTATGTTTAAACTATAACTAAGTGATTTTATATGATTCAACATAATAGATGATCTCTTACTTCTATTTTAACTCATAATTTGTAGTCTCTTGAAGAATTCCTTCTGCATTATGAAATGTCATTTATTACAATGAATGTACTGGATTTCTAAAAAAAAGACTTAATTGAAAACAAAATTTAACAAAAATTTAATGTTATGACTTAAGTCTCTAGTATACACTATTATTCTTATATTTTTGAAACGAAATGTGATTTTTATGTGTGTTCTGTCATCCTAGTCAAGGAGTCAAAGCCAAGACAGAAGAGAAAGACCCTAAGAAGCTAAAAAAGCAGGAAAAAGAAGAAAAAGACTTCAGGAAAAAATTTAAAGTACGTTTTATTTAAATATCATACGAAGTTCAAAGCACTAGTGAGAAATATGATGATTTTTTAAGTACCAAAATACACATTTTAAAAGTGTAATTATCAATATCACAGTTATCCATCATAATTCCTTGATTTTCTACAAAATTTATTTTAGATTTAAATTTATTTCTGTAATAAATTAAGCAGACTGTCATACAGGCACAATGTATATATTGAGATAATCATCTAAATTTAGCTGTCCTTTGAACCTTGATAAGAAGGTAATCTAAAAATAGTTAGGATAGATAAAAAAAAGATGTGGCGTGGGGCTAGCCCAGTGGTGCAGCGGTTAAGTGTGCACGCTCCACTTTGGCAGCTCGAGGGTTCACAGGTTCGGATCCTGGGGGCGCACAGACGCACCACTTGTCAAGCTGTGCTCTGGCGGCGTCCCATATAAAGTAGAGGAAGATGGGCACATATATTAGCCCAGGGCCAATCTTCCTCAGCAAAAAGAGGAGGATTGGCATCCTATGGAGCTCAGGGCTGATCTTCCTCACACACACAAAGAAAAGATGTGGCATGTATATAATGGAATATTATTCAGCCATGAGAAAGAAGGAAATCCTGCCATTTGTGACAACATGAATGGACCTTGAGGGCATCATGTTAAGTGAAATAAGTCAGACACAGGAAGACCAATACTGTATGATTTCACAAATATGTGAAATCTAAAAAAGCCAAACTCAAAGAAACAGAGAGTAGAATGGTGGTTACCACAGGCTAGGGGAATGGGGGAAATGGGGAGGTGTTGGTCAAAGGGTACAAACTTTCAGTTATAAGATGAATAAGTTTTGGGGATCTAATGTACAGCAGGGTGGTTATAGTTAGCAATACTGTGCTATATTCTTGAAAGTTGCCAAGAGAGTAAATCTTAAATGTTCTCACCACAAAAAAGAAATGGTAGTTAGGTGAGGTGATAGAGGTGGTAGTTAAATCTGTAGTGGTAATCATTTTGCAATTTATAAGTGCATCAAATCAACATGTGTACACCTTAAACTTTAAAATTTTTTTTACTTTTTAAAAATAATTATTATGTTAGATTCGTGAAGTTATGAGTGACTTTACCCCAAAACATTTTCTTTAATGTTCTTACATTATCTTTTGAAAATAAGAAACTATGTATTTAGCAAAGACTTTCTTAATAAACCTGTCAATCGATGAATACTTTAATGATACGTGTCAACCAATAATGTAAATGTTTTTCTTTATTTTTTCCAGTATGATGGTGAAATTAGAGTCCTATATGCAACCAAAGTTGCAGCCTCCTTAGCTTCTAAGAAGTGGGGGACCAGAGATCTACAGGTCAAGCCTGGTGAATCTCTTGAAGTTATACAAAACACAGACAATACAAAAGTTCTCTGCAGGAATGAAGAAGGAAAATGTAAGTCACTGCTTACTCTTTATAGACATGGCACTCCAGAAATTAACAACCAAACAAGTTTTAGTAATCACCCCTGTTTTTATTAACTCTTTTTGCTCTCTGCTTTGTGAATTGTGGAAAACATTAAGAAACTAAAGATCTTGCTGTGCTGAAATCAATGTATTTTATTTTATTTATTTCATTTCCCACTTGCTATATTTGGCACCGTGGTACCAAGGTAATGCCAAATTAGTGTTCCTCGAAATGTGGTCCCACAGACCACCAGCATCAGAAAACCGTTGTGCGTGTATTAAAATTGCAGCTGCCTGGACTCGTCCTTGACTTGCTTAGTCATGAGCTCTGGGGTCAGATGGAATCTGTGATCATACCTTCTTCCCTAGCTTGTTCTTACGTACACTAAAGTGAGAACCACTGTACTCGGGTGGTGAGTGGCTCTTGCTTTGGCCCGGTTTTGAAATCATATAGCATATGTCCCACCTAGAATTTCCATTTTCCCTACCTTGCAAATTCACTTGTTTTCATTTCCTTTTTGGAAACACTTCATACAACGTACTATTCCAAGTAAATACAACAGAGTCTTGTCCTCTTTGACTTTCTCAGCTATTAAAGCTGACAGATGGAAACTTTTTTGTCAAATTTTAAAAGGAAGCTTATTTCATTTACAATCCAGGGAAGAGTAGTTCAAAATTATGTTGTCCTATATTTAAAATTGGATAGCCAGCATGGCTGCCCCACATCAGCTCGGTTGGTCTGCGTGGAAAACATAAACTCTGAGCCGTATTTTAATGACAGGAAGGTGACTCAGGGACAGGAACTGAAATGGAGTTTTAAGAATAAAACACAGTGACTCACAGGTGGGGAAAATGGATCTAAAGTCATCATGGAGGAGATGTGCTTGGCTTTTAAAGGGAGAAAATGGAACGTAGTACAAAGGATAAAAGACGAGTCGTATATTATTAAGATTCGATGCTCACTGGAGATAACATGTAGACGGTCCCTCAGGATACAAAGAAAACCCCCATTCATACTAGCATTTGTGGGGATGTACCCCAAGGAATAGCCTTAAGTGCAGAAAAACCATACGCATTAAAATGTCGTCAAAAATATTAAAAATGTTCAAAATTTTACAAGTGATTAAATAAGTTATAAGGAATATACCAAATTGAATATTTTACATGATGATTATGACAATAATGTCATATTGTCAAAGAAACAAAGAAAACCCCCATTCATACTAGCATTTGTGGGGATGTACCCCAAGGAATAGCCTTAAGTGCAGAAAAACTATATGTATTAAAATGTCGTCAAAAATATTAAAAATGTTCAAAATTTTACAAGTGATTAAATAAGTTATAAGGAATATACCAAATTGAATATTTTACATGATGATTATGACAATAATGTGAGGAAATTCTCAAGACACGAAAGTAAGAGAAATAAGAAGCCTGCTTAATGTAGGATGGAATTTACAGCCATATTAAAAAATTATGTAAATAAAAGAAACTAAAATAAAATGTTATTTGTGGCTGATGAGGGTGATAGGCCTAAATGATACGTTTTCTTTCCTCTACTTTCCAAATTATTTCACATGTTTCACGATAGAGAATTGTCCTAGTACTTGTCATGTGGACATTTCTCTAGTGCACAAGCTTCAGACACATCTTGCCACACTGTCCTGAGACTCCTGTCCCTAGCAACAAATCCCATCTAGAGCAATGTTCCTCAACCTCAAAGTATGTACACACCACATGGTGATATTGTTAAAAATGCAGATTCTAATTCAGTAGGTCTGAGGTGGGGTGTGACCTTCTGCATTTTACCAAGCTCCCACGTAATTGATGCTGCTGGCCCATGGAACAGACTCTGAGTAACAGGATGTAAATGACCTCATCAACAAACATGTGTAGACATAGATGAGCAGGAATAGATACAATACCAGAAACAGATATTCGGAGAAGAGTCCTATCTTCCTAGGAACCAGTAGACCCTAAGAATGAGGAAAAGCGGTGGCCATTCAGGAATAATTCTGTAATCTGCTATCACTTCCTATTTGGACACCAATAATTCTAAATACTGTTGTGTATATTGGAGGGCTCCTGTCTCTTAGAATTTATCACCTGTGAAAAATGGGAGGTGGAAACATTACATTAAATTCTGGTAGATAACAATTAAGGGTTCTATGTAACTTTTATATTTTTTTTTTCTGGTGCAGTACCAATGCACTTTATAATTCCCAAGCTCACTGGTAACTAATTCAGTTCTTAGGTAGTTTTGGAGTCCATCTCGAACAGGATGGATGATTATATTGGGAGCAATTGTGCACATGTTGTTTTTTATTTAAAGACTTTGGGATAGATTTTATCCTAGTTTGGCTTCCTCACTTGGGAGGTGATTCGGGAAAATACCTGTAGGCAAGTGGAGAAGTAGACAGGGAAAGGAAAGCATCCAAGAAAGCCTTGTTATTGAAAAAGTTACCACTTGGATAATTGGAGCTTAATTCAGTTGGAAATTTGGAGTGGCAGTGTTATCCCATCCAGGTGGGAAACAACTTAGGGTATTTATATATCAACTCCTGTCCATCAGGAGTTGAAGCCTACTCCTGGGCAGGTGGCGAGTCATGCAAGATACTAATCAAGTTGACAAAGAGAGTGCTGGAAGCCAGAAAAAAGCAATCAATAAAAAAATTTAAAATGCAAGCACTGTCAGTTGAGCCAAAAGTCACTAAAGTGGTAAGGGTGGCAGGGTATGGGAGGACCACCGGGAGCATCTGCTATTGCCTTTCAAGTTAAGCATTATTCCAAGATTTAATTATCATATCTGCTTAATTTCACTTTTATTTTTCCAAACCTCCTGCTTTTCTTAATTTTTCTAAACCTCCTGCTTATTCCTTCCTTGAACTAGCTCCTTGACATTCTTAATTTCCTTAATTTCTGATCCATTCCTCACATACCTCTCTAGGATTTGGGATGATTGTTGTATGGATTTAACCCTCCCTCATCTAGATTATTGCAATAGCCTTTCAAATGATATGCCCACCCTACCCTTATTCTCAGGCAATCCACTCAACACACTGTTACTCAGATATTGTTTTTAAAAACACAAAGTCTTTAGGCTAATACATAAGACCCTTTATGATCTAGCCTCACTCTCATCAACTGTTTCCCATCTGCAACTGACACTCCAGAAATACAAACTACTTGTCATTCCTTGAATAAATTATACTATTTCATCCTTCTATGCTATTTTATTCCACTTGGAGCACCCATAATTGTCCATTAAAAACAACCCTCTTGTCATCTATAATTGGAAGCGCATCCCTCTGCACTCCCCAGCCACCCCATCACAATGAATCTCCCCCGCCCCCCACCATGCTACTACTTCTGTTGCCGTAATTGTACTTTGTTTTATCTCCTTAACTATCATCCTTATTAGACGCTGAGCTTGAGAGTAACGTCAATGGAATGTTCTCAACATTGTATTGCCAACACATTCCACATTGCCTGGCACCTTGTTTGGGGTTTGCTGAATTGAATGTAACAATTTGGAGGTTGCGGTTGGGTAACCAGAGGAAAGTCGGACATGTGGACACTCACAGGAAGACTGTTGAATAGTTTAACTGGTTAGAAGACAGAAGTTCCCCGTCATACCCTCAGTAATGTGTTTCACTTGTGTGTATCATTTGGAAGCCTCTATATCTTTCAGTTCCTTATTTCTACATCTTCTGATTAGCAGCAAAGGGATTTAAAATCCAACACCATGGCGACCCTAACATTTTCCTTATTCTCCATTCTTCTTTAATCCATCAAAGAAAAGAAAACAGCTTACTTAAACCTACATTTGGTAATGATAGAAATTAGAGGCTAAAACATTAACAATTATGCCTTCCCGTTGTGGAGTGGAGTACAAGCCACTTTTACCGGCATTATCACGTTTGATTGAGTCTCACCCCCTGACACGTGGAAGCACATATTGCGTAGGTGTTGAGATCTTAAATATATATTTCTGGCACATTCCCAAATGTTTAGAATTTCTCGCTAATATTTTCACATATTCCACAACTCAATGTCTCGTAGCTGTGAGTTTTCCCACCTCCTGTCACTGGAGAAAAATTTTCTACAAAAAGTGTGGAATGAGACATGAGCTGAGTTATTTGTGTTCAAAATATGCTTCGTTTCCTATGGGCATCAAAGAAAGGAGAATTTTAAAGGTGTTTTGGGTTTTCCCAAATCCAGCTGATCATTTCTTTGCTAAAGTAATTTCGTTTTCAATTTTAAAACAACACATGCTCACTGAAGAAAATTTTTTTAATTCGGACATTTAAAAAGTCGCTTGATTTGAAGCCCTAGAAATAAGGAGAGAGAGAGAGAGAGAAGACTGGGAGGCAGAACATTTTTATAAAACTAGGATAATAATTTATATTTAGTTTTATTTAGACACTGCATTTTATTTTATCTTTCTGTTATATTATGAGAATTTTCCCTTGAAGTTGGACGTTGTTCCACTTGCCTGAATAAATCTATGCAATATGATTTTATTGCTTTTAAACTGCATGAGGACAAATTGAGTAAGTTTAACTTTATTCTGGACTTGCTCACAACAAATGAAATAATAAGGAAATACCAAAAGTTGCCATTTGAAAATTTTAAATATTAGAATGAAGATATTTTTCATTTTTCCAAGGATACTTTTATATTTCTTTGATAATTTTATATTCACAACACCCTTCTGAAAGGTGAGTCATTCGTCCTGGGACACATCTGCACTGTAGCAAGCAAACGTTTCGGGAAGTAATTAACTGGCACATATGAGGGGTGGGTGTTATTTTTTTAACTAGCTCTACCCTACCACGTATTTCAAAACATTTGTTTCAAGCCACTGTGTTCTGCTCTATGAATATGAGGTTTCCAAGTAATAATTTCTTCTTATGTATGAAGGATCTCTGGTGTGCCAGCACCCACAATATTATAGGGTTCATTGAACATGGCAGCCATTATACATGGTAGAGAACTATGATGTGTTTTTTCGTTTATTTCGTTTGTTTGTATTTTTCATTAACATTCCCTATGATGGATGTACATGGAACATGTGAGCAAAGAGAGCATTTTTCTACTGCAAAAAAAGGTTTTTTCTAGGAACTATAATGGAGAGATTATATAAAAATTCATGGTAAGTCACTTGTTTTGACATTGTTATGAATCATGCTTTTAATAGAGTGAAGTTTTAGCAGAGATTTTTAAAGGTACTAGACAGCAAAACCTATGCAGTATTAGAAGTCATTAACCATGTAAAAATGCTATATAATAGTGCTTTTGTAGCTAATGAGACCCAAATTATCACATCATTTCAGGGAACTAAAATAGAGCAGCACAGTACCATCCCACACTCCATCTCCTTGATACATTTTTCTTAAATAATACTCACCATCATTGATGTTTATGTATCTCACACACAGACAACAACAACAACAACAACAACAACAATGGAGCATTCAACAAAAGAGACAGCTGTTCCTTAAGATTCTTGAACAGGCAAGATATAGGAGGAAATATAATAGGGATTTGAGAATCTGAGAGAAGATATTTTTCACAATTAATTTTGTGAAGTTAGGTATTAAGCTATGTATTATGAGTTGTTAACTTTGGTCATGTAAAGGACTATTTTAGTGCTTAACTACAGATAGTGTTTTATCCAGGTCTACACAATTGTAGCATAATTGAGTTTTAAAAAGTAGATTACCTATAAGCACAGGAAAATAAAAACCTTTAATTTCCAAAAATGGTGATTATATTCTCTTTGTTTTGAACTTTATTTCTTTTAATCTTCTAAAGATTTAAAAAATATATATATATATTTGGTGATAGAAAAATTCCAGTCTCTGGCAATATTTTATAATTTCTTATACATTTCTCTAATTTTTTATCTTCTAATTTTAGTTCAGAGACTTCACAAAGCCCGAATAACTCACAATGAGATTGACTTCATTGTTAACGTCGTCAGTTCATAAATGTCGTTATTTTAAAATTATTAACATAAACATGAATGTATCATGGGAACACTTAGTATTATATTGTTTTACTGTCCAATTCACTTTAAGAGAAAATTCAAAATGAAAACAGAACCACCAAGTTTAGCTAAGGAATAAAGAGTTTGTGACTATTACTGTTGGTAGAAAACTGTTCACATTTTATGTATAATTGAATTTGTTAGAGATGAGCTTATCTTATCTTAAAAATTATATTAAACTATAATGTATCCCTTAATTTTTTAATGCCTGTTAACATAAAATGAACAGAAGAACTGTGATATCAAAGGCTGCCCAAGGATCATAGATATTAATTTTAGATGTTCTTCACATTAACAATTTTTGCTACTTTTGCTTTAATTGGAATAAAAAGAAGAGATAACAAGGTCTAATTTTTCAGAGTAAAATATCACTTTATTGTGCTTCTATCATTTTGACATGTGTAGTAGTACTTCCCTACTACAGCAATTCAAAGATAACTTTGATTTTTTCTTTTCCAAATATGATGCTTATAAACAGTTTTCATTAAAAAGCGGTGAACTCCTTGATAAAATATTTTGGTGGAGTTTTTTTACCCTGGACTATTTCAAGGGAAAGTTCATTTTCTGAAGTTTTAATCTACAATTTCAGTTAAATGATCCTAACTTAAAACATTTTTTTTCATGTTAAATCAATAACAATATGACATCAATATGTTTATTATCACTTGTATTAAATCTTTGCTTATGAGCTTACTGGTTTATAATTTTTACACATTTACTCTGATTTAGAACCAAAACCAGATCTGAAGAAGACCAAGATCAATAGATAGACTAATGAGAGAATGATTTAGAGACTGTATTGATAAGACAATAAATGGTGCTGATCTCAAGCATACAACAGAATTAGGCGCTAACACAAAACTAATTATTCCAAAGATTAGTAATGTTAATTTGATGTCAGCAGACATTTTCTCAAGAAAAATAGTCCGGATTTCTTCATAGGAATACTTTGCACAATTAGGGGAAATATTAGTGCACAAAAAAAAATTTTTGCTTTCTTGCATAAAATATGGTCTATTTTCTACTTAACTGGGAATCACTAGAATTCCTGGTATGTGTTCTTCTAATAATGCTTTTGTTCCATGAAAGATGAAAATACAAATGTTGACACTCTGTCAAATGGCAAAAGCAGTAGAGAAAGACTTCCACACTAACTATGAGAGCTATTCTGAGACCATTTAGAACGCATACTCCGTACTAGAACGCAATCTAGTAGCGATAGATTGCTGGCATCTGAAAGTAGTTCTGACTCTGCTCAATATAATAAAATTTGAAAAGTCAAGTCTTAGATCTGGTGATACTTAAAATAACTACCTATGAACTACTTTTTGCAATTGGAGAAACTATGCTTAATAAATTCTTTCTAAAACTGAGTCACTTGAGTGACACCTTGAAGAAATGGAGTAAAATTTGAAAGAACCTTGTGCTACAACCTCCAGTAGCTTAAAGAAGAAAAAGGAGAAATGAAGGAAAAGAGATGTTTAGGAGAGAGAGAGAAAACTCAGAGAAAAATGGAGAATAAAGAAAGAAGAGAAAAGTGAGAGCCACTCCGTGGCTTAGGGGTTAAGTGCACGCCCTCCGTTGCTGGTGGCCCGGGTTCGGATCCTGGGTGCACACAGATACACCGCTTTTCAGGCCATGCTGTGGCAGCATGCCACATAAAGTGGAGGAAGATCTGCACGGATGTCAGCTCAGGGCCAGTCTTCCTCAGCAAAAAGAGGAGGCTTGGCATGGATGTTAGCTCAGGGCTGATCTTCCTCACAAAAAAAAAAAAAAAGAAAGAAAGGAGAGAAAAGTGGACATATTTGGAGATGGGTCATATTTGGAGATAGATAAAATTATTCAATATTATAGCATATCATAGTGTAGTATATTAATTATTCAATTTTATTTCATTTTCTTAAAAGAAACAGTAAAGATTTTTCAAGTCTGCACTATTAATAAAATTTATTTCCTTTTTTTCTCACAGATGGTTATGTCCTTCGGAGTTGCTTGGTGGATAAGTAAGCCCATTTTCTTCTGCTACTATACTTGTAAAAAGAATTTTATGCTTTACTTTAAGAAATATTCCTAATATTTAAATAATATAATCTACTGAATTATCATAAGTAAATTTTAAAACAGTATGCTATACTAATGTCTGTATGGTAGTACCCGTAATAAAGTTAAGGTTTTCATAAAGTGTTACTGTTTTAAATAGACAAGAAGCCCTTCTCATTCATGATTCTACAGTTTATGGTTTTACATATTCATTGGAGAAAGACAATGCAAACATTGGAGACAGACAGATCAAAGTCACTAACGCTTTCATTAACACTTTGCATGTCACTTGCTGATTAATTCAGTTGGTTGAATTGAATTAATCAGGAATCAGTTAGTGTTTATACAGTAGGTGCTAGTATCACCTGTTAACAGTTTATAGTCTGACCCCTAACTGAGGGCTTTTCTTTACTCACACCAGGCATAGTAGAGTATTAAGTTGCCTTTTTTGGAAGCATGCCAGAAAAAAGATAGTAGTCAATGATTCTTCTATTCTTATGAATAAGACATTGTCACAGTGTGGTGCTATTGTGCTATAGAGTCCTCCAAAACGTTATAAGATTCTGTTCCCAGTAAACGATACAAGAATGAACTCCGTTATCAAGTTAGGTCATGAACCAGTACAAAGATTTATGGAATTCAGCATAATAAAAAAATCAAGGAGGATTCACAAACCATATCCATAAACAACCTGACACCAATCAAGAGGAGACAAATCAATGTTAAGTGCTCTGTCAGCAAACTAGTAAAGACTCAAAAGTAAAATAATCATAAAACTTTTATTTTCCTCAAAGCATTAGTCATGGTGATAGGCATGGGACTTTTCAATAGGTTTTATTCTATGAAATATAACAAATTTCAAGGAAAGAATGTGTGGCAAATAATAGGACATCTTCATCAGTGATATTACAGGATGATTAAGAAAGAATTTAGAAAGAGTCCTAAGTAATTATTGCTTCACCACCTATTGAAGTGAATACTTAATAAATGTTTGTTGCATGAATGATAAGGAAAATCTGTCCTCTTTGCATTAGAGTCAGACTTCCATTAGCCAAACCCTCCCTCGTTCTCAGAGAAAGGATGCAAACAGAAGACATAGGGAACTCACAGCATCTGCTGTAGTTGGCAGCAATTTGAAGGGCCTGCTGCTGCTTCCATGATAAAAGCACAGAAGTGGTACAGAAACCAAAAGTGCGTCTGGTCTAAGTGACAAAGTCACCTTACATTTCTGAACTTTGAAACTGTGTCCTACGTTTCCAGGTTATGTTAACATTTATAATATTTTCTATTTTAATCCCTTGTATATCATTCTCTCCTCCATTAGATTATAACTGCTTGAAATCAAAGCTTGTGTCTCATTCACGTTTGTGTCTCCTGGTACATAGGAGAGACTCAGTATGTGTGTAGAATAGAATATTTCATGAAGATTCATAACTGGGTAAAACCTAAAATGTGTAAAAGTAGCCAGAACTACTATTATGGATGCTGCCTATAAAAGTAAATATTTTTAGAATTCTATATATAAGAACCACCATACTAACCATATCTTGGCTACTTATTTTGTAACTAATATTTATATATTTTATAATCAATATTTACAAATTATAATTAGAAACATGCAAAAATGATGCACCCATTGCCTATGCCAAATATTACTGTATTTCATTCAACGTTTGAAGTTCAAGTGAAAGTATTAATCTGATGTTAACAGATATAAAGAATCCATTACAGTTTTGAATTAGGGCCCCCAGTGCAGTATTGTGCCATGATTTTTCAAACACTTCTTACTAAGCACAGCTGTGTGCTAGGCCCACGGTTGGGTCTAAAGATGAATAAGGCACGGTCTGTGCTCTAGAGGCATGTTTCCATTTTTCTATATATCTATGATACAGAATAGGTTGTGGGGATTTTCAGAATGACACAAAGGATTAGATTAAATCAACGAAAGGAGATACAGATGAATATGAAATTTCTTCCCACTTATAAATGCATCATGTGTACCTTCTCACCCTTATATGCCTTGTGTCATATAAAATCATATTATTAACCTTTTAATTTAAATATTGCTTTAATGTTAAGAAGACATTTTCTTTAAAATAAAATTTTTTTTCTGCATTTACAGTGATGGAGAGATCTATGATGATATTGCTGATGGTAAGTCTCATATGGCAGCCACCACAGAGAACAGTAACAGTGAATTTACTGTTCTTACAAATACTAAAAATAGCTTGCTGGATTAATTAGAGCTTTCCAATCTGATCAGAATTTGAATCACTAATACCTTGGTATAATGAAAAAAATTTATTTTTCCACATGACTGGAAATCAAGAAATAATCTCATTTATTCTCCTTGAAAGCAGAAGTATGAAAATATTTGGTGAATTTTTCATTTTAACATGAATCTTAATTGATGCATGAATAGTAATAGCTTTTATCCACAAAAATATGTGTACTTGGGCAATAAGTGGGTACTTATTTCATAATGTATAATACTCACTAGTATTCTCCAAGCTTCATGTATTTCTAAATTATGTTCTAAAAAATTAATCTCAACTGAAATGAAGCATAGTGTTAACCATGTTGCCTTTTAATCTCCTTTTAAATTTATGATTCTCATTGATATTTAATATTTTCAAGCTCATTCAGAATGACTACCAAAAAGTACATTTAACCAGTTTTTCATAAAGTGAACCAATTCTACTTTTTTTTTTATCCTAACCTGGGAGAGTATGAATCACCCACATTTCCAACTTTGGAACACTTAGGGGGCATGTGTTTTATATAACTATATTTCAATTTGTGTTTTTTCCTTCCAGGTTGCATCTATGACAATGACTAACTCTCAGCTTTGGTCACTCTGCTATGTCCATTTGATGTCAGTATGAAGTCTGGGTTTTGATTGGCGAATGTTATTGTGTTCATAGAAAAATGAATGCACAAAACTACTTATTACCATTTGTTATAAACTTCTGATTATCTTTAAAAGTTTTGAAATTTTGGACTTAGAAAGTGATCTCTCTGCTTAAGCAACATCTTGAAAGACTGCATCAATGAGATGTAAGAATTGTTAAAAATCCCATTTCTGCCTCAGCTACAATTATGAAGATGCTTCTTTTACCCCATCAGTTGACAACCTCCCTTCCTAGAAAAAAATCATTTGAGAAGAAATGACTGTGTTGTCTAAAGAACTATAAGGAAGAAACATAAAGAAATACAAGAAAGAAAATTTTAAAGCATTTCACAAGAAGGAAAACTTCGTTTGCCCTTCTAATTATGATCGTTATCTTATATTTTCTATTCAAATTATCTGTCTTTAAAAAGGCAGAGCTGTCTCCTCTCTTGCTAGTGAGTTAAATGTTTTCAAAAATTATAGAAGTATCAGAAATTGTATATAAAGTTTGTCCCTATTTGTTAATTGTGAATATGTGGTAATTACCTAAGATTAAAACTATAGAAGAGTCTAAAATAAGTTTTCTGTTTGCAGCATCACATGCTAACAGTATAATTCTGTATTCTGTTTAAATTTCTGTTGTAACTAGAGTAGATATGAATGAGGACTACCCTAAAATGATGAAGACTGGAAGAACGGACTTTGAAATTAACTAGCCTTCTATTGCACCTCTTTACTTTGAAGACTATCTTAAAGGTTTTTGGTTTTGTTTTTCAAATACCTCTATGAAACTTTTTCTTTAAAACCACTTTACTGGAAAGTTGGCCAGTAGAGGGAGTACAAATTAATAACCCCTGGTGTTTGGACTAGAATGTTCCCTATTGACACATACTCATTCCCAAAGAAACCCAAAAACGGAAGGTGAAGCATTTGGGTTCCAAATGCTAAGAACACTAAACACTATGACACAAAATGTAAAACCCTAACACCCAAGAAAATAGCATATTAGGTAATTTTTTCACAACTTCCAAAACACGAAATGAGCAAATCTTAATGCTGGCTCTGCTACGAATGAACCATGATGTGATATTGGGTAAATTATTTATCCTTCCAGTTTCCTCGTCTGCAAATTACAGGATTAGGCTAAGTCAGTTTTTCCCAACTTTTTTACTATCAGTTACCTCAAACTTTTATAATTCTCCCCCTACCCCAGCCCTGTGTTTCAGAAATTTCTGTTTATTTTTAAAACTCATTGATTAAATAGTGATTAATGCATTATCCATGTTTTCATATTGTAAAGGCCCTTTGGAGCGTCTGAAGAGTGGCTCCATTGAACTGAAATAACTTCAGATAATTGTAAAAGAACTCCAAGCCTTCGTATGGGTAAAGTGGAAATTCCACTAGATGCATTGAAATTTGAAAATAGATCATCAACTTCTATTGCTCAATTTATAGTTTCTGGGAGTCTGAGGCCCCCAAATCGGAGGAATTTAGACCTCCTCCAATTATGAAATACTTGGATGTCTACTTTTTGATAGGGGAAGCCAGTATATGCTCACGTGATGAATTTAATACTAAATAAAATTACATGATCCAAAAGTACTTTTTGTTTGTTAACTTTGGTAAATATACATCATGCACTGACAGTATATTTCCAGTAATTTTTTTTCTGATTGCAAACAGTATAAATTCAATACAATGTCAATTTTTTAAATTCCAAATTAGATCAAGAGAATATTTTAGAGTTTTGGTTTATACACCACCAAACAGAGACACATATGCCTATGAAAGATTTATGTAATAGATAATTGTCTTAATATAAAAGATATATATGAAGTATTAATTTTAATATACTAAATATTATTTCTGTTATAGTTTTATGTATGGAATTTCATCATGTGAGAAGAACGACAAATAAATAATAACTTCAGAAGATAACTTTGCCTCTTACTTCATCAAGAAATCAAGGCCATCAGCCTTTCTCTCCCTCCTATAATTTGATCCCACATCTACAAGTCTTTCTCTGAGCCTATCATTACGTCTTTTTGCTTCAGCCTCAGAGGATGGGGTACCTTCTGTTCAAGACCAAACCTTCCACCGGTGCCCCTGATATTTTCCTCCTGTTTTGTGGTAGATATTGAGATAACCAAGTGCAATTCCCTTCAACTCCCTGCAACGTTCAACCTTAACCCATATCCAGACACTATCCAAGAGAGAAAGATGTCGCTCCTCAGATTCAAAGCCACAACCTGTTATCCCATGTCTTCCTGCCTTGTCTGGAGTCTTCTTCCTCCACAATTAATTCATTCTCATTCCCTCTCTCTTTCTCTCTGTGTGTGTTTCTCTCTCTCTCTCTGTCTCACACACACGCACAGGCACACACACACACCTCTTCCCCATCCGTCTTTCCCTCCCTCCCTTCCTCTTTTTTATCTTTAACTTCTCCCATTGTGAAGATTCCCTCCTTTAAGGCAAACATACTCCTCTTACAAATATACCAAAGTCTTTCCTATTTGAAAAACAACAGGAAACTTTGCCTTTAATCCAAATGTGTCTCCAACTATAGCCCATTTCTATATTCCTTTTCTCATCGCATTGTCTTAAAATGGTAGAGTACATGTGGCAGCCAGGAGAATGTGCCTCACAGACCTTCCACCATGTGGTGCTCAATTGACCAAAGGCTCCAGCCTCTGCACTCTGAAATCCATCAGCACAGCTGTGCCAACGCCAGGCTTTCCACAGGCTGCTCCTGTGTAGCCAATCATTGAGCCAATGATCCTGTTCCTGAAAGGTACAGAAGCCTCTGACAGCCTTGCTAAACCTTCCTTACCCTGCATATCACTCTGAGAAGCTTCTATCCAACCATCTCTCCCTCCTCCTTTCTTTGGGGTCAGACTTGCATTGCTGTCTGATGTCTCCTCCAGCCTTCCTCAGCTCCCTCTTATTTCTTCTCACACGTATATGCCCCCCCCAAAAAAAAATTTATTGCGCTGTTACCCCATCTTGGTGTCTGCTTTCCAAAGGATCTGCACCGAACACCGTACAGCTGGAGAGTTTGTTTATAAAAATACACATCTTCCTCCACAGATCAAGTGAATCAGGATCTCTGGCGAAGGAATTTTTAAATCAATTTTTAATTAAATATTAGTTTAATGCTTAGCCAGGTTTGGGAAACCATGGTCCCTATTCCCCCTTGCCACATTCTCAAGTTATATTCAATCTTCAACTTACTGCAATTTGGTCTCTGCTACAATTACTCTAAAGTCATCTCTATGTATATATCCCACGTAGATAGTTAGTTGTGCTAACTCACAAGACTCAAAACTGAACTCATCATCTTTCTCCCTTTCAGTTGATGATCCTCCTGTAGATTGTATCTCAGTGACATGTCTATCATCCATTCACCCAAGCTCAAAACCCAGGAGTTGCTCTGCTTCTGTTCCTTTACCCCTTGTGTCCAATGAATCAGTAAACAGAGCTCCCAGAAAGTGAAGACTTTGTCTTATTCATTTTGTACTCCTTTACTTTACATGGTGTTTGAAGCCTTTCATTATATATTTGATAATGAAAGAATAAATGATACCTCTGCGAAGAATGTGTTAATCCAGTGGGCTACCACTACAATTTTTCCTTAATTACTACTTCAAACTCCGTAAGAGGTTGAGCAAATTGATGGCTGAAAAATGCCTATTAGATTTATCAACATGTAGGTCATACATGACTTTTGAAAGACTGAGGAATTCAAGACCAAGCTGATTGCAACGGTTTCACCTGTTGGAAGCAGATGTTGGGATAGAGTTTGGAGTATAGACGTCATTAGGGATCAACATCTGTGAAAGGAAGGGGAGGAAACATGATTGTGCAGAGAAAGAAGTTGAGCTGTGACGCAAGCCCAACATCTTCAGCCAATGAGATGGGGGCCTCGGGAATAAATGCTACCCATCAGAGCTATCCCCCTCCAGGCCAAAATGGCCAGCCTTTTTACCTCCACCTCACTCATCACCACATGTGGGCCACCTTGGGAAGGACATGACCTTGTGCAAGATGACTCTGAAGCTGAGGCAGACCCTGAAGGAGGAGACAGCCAGAGGCAGTCAGTCTGCAGACCACGGTCCCCTCAGCTGGGCAGTAAGTCCTTCCTTGAAGGGGGTCTGGCAGCCCATATCCACAAATGGATTGAGAGGTAAATGGAAGGTTAGAAAATTGAGACAGACATGATAGAAACCTCTTTCCAGAAATTTTACTATAAAAATGAGGAAAATGGGGCCAGCCCAATGGCATAGCGGTTAAGTGCACACGCTCCACTTTGGCAGCCTGGGGTTCGCAGGTTTGGATCCCGGGCACACAATGACGCACCACTTGTCAAGCCATGCTGTGGTGGCATCCCATATAAAGTAGAGGAAGATGGGCACGGATGTTAGCCCAGGGCCAATCTTCCTCAGCAAAAAGTGGAGAATTGGTAATGGATGTTAGCTCAGGGCTAGTCTTCCTCAAAAAAGAAAAGAGGAACATGACACAAGTGATAGCCAGATGGGAAAATAAAGTGAAGAAAGGTCTTTTCTCTTTCTTTTTGGGGAATTGTTTGTTTGTTTTCTAAGACAGAAAAGACTTGAGCATATTCAAAAGCTGATGAAAAGGATCTAGTTGAGAGGGAAAGATAAAATCATAAGAGAGATAAGGGACAAAGAGCTAAGTTTCTTGAAAGGATAGAGGTTTGGACAGAAATAGACTACAAATTACAGATTTTTTTCCCCAATAAATTATTTCTTGTTACATCTATGAAATGCTCATTTTATTTAGTGTCTATGACAGCCAGATTCCATTTCTATTAGTAGCACCAAATGCCAGTGACAGGTCTAGTAGGAATGCAATCATAAAAACTTAATGCTGCTGCACACAAATTCCTTAGCATCTGATACTTTTCAAACACCGTGGCCAGGAACCTAGTAGAAATCTAGAGTTAAATTGTGATTTGGCTCTTGTCCAACTGAGAATGGTATTCAATACAGGCTGTTTGTAGCCAGGTTCTTATTAGCAAAAGAGAGCAAAACTCTTTGAGCATTGAGCACTGGACTATGCTCAATGGTGTAAAGATAATTTCCCAACCCAAAAAATCAGAATGCTACCAAGGAAAGAGATCCTGACCTCATGAAAGAATCACGCAAGGTATATATGTATATATACGTATATATATAAGAGAGAGAGAGAGACCAAGGTATATTTTGTTTACATATTAAACACATAGTAATATTTCTCTTCTATAAGAAAAATATATATATATATTTTCAGTTTTCCTGAAGAATTTGGTCTTCTGTATTTCCTTGCTCACTATTTACAGAGACATTGGTAGAGAAATGGTTCTGTCCTAGAAGAAACATCATTGTACCAACATGATGATACATGATCATGATAAATGGCATCTGATATTCAGTTTTGTTATGGGGATCAATAGAAAATGGTGAGGACTGTGGCAAACAATATAAGCTTTGTCTACAGGAGCGAGTTGCTAATTATGCTAGGTATCTTCTGCTTGGCCCTCTGGATCCCCCTCTCCAACCTTCTCCATCCTACTCTGTGTCCCTCAAGACTAACCTCTTTGGACTGCCTCAAGACTTCCTTGACTTATAGCTTCCTGTTTCATTTGGCCAATGAGGAGCACCAGCAGGCAATCAGAGGGACAGAGAGTGAGGTTTGAATATTATTCCCTCAACTTCCTCCCTGAGACATCATGATGAGCTGGCTGTGTCCCTCACCCAGAGTCAGATAGGCTTCTCCACATTGTGCTGACTCTCTGGATTCTAGTGTTTCTCCGTCTTCTTGCTCCTTCAAGATTGCAACCACTCTCTGAGGTTACCAGTTCCAGGGTACTGTTGTTTACTTTGTGGTTTCCCTGCACACTGACCACACATTTGTAGACAGTGCTTTTATTAAGCCTTCCTCAAATTTCCCAGTTTGAGTTTGCCATTTGTTTCCCACCTGGGCCTTACTGATACATGACTCAACACTGATGAATTGATAGATTCTCCAATTTTTCAAGAGAAGCTGGATGTCAAGTTTTATATATATAGTTCCTACATTTTTTCTTTTACTGTTCATTCAACTTTTCCTAAATGCACTATTCAGACCAAACAATTATTGCTGTAGGCCTGATTTGACCCATGTGGTCAGTCTGCAATGTTAGCCATTTATGATGGGAAATAAATCAGATGAAGCACTGGCCACTCTGTAGCTACCCAACCTTCCAATAATGAGGAGCATTTTTTTGTGGGTGAGTGATGGACAAAATTTATTTAGTGTCTATGACAGCTAGATTCCATTTCTATTAGTAGCACCAAATGCCAGTGACAGGTCTAGTAGGAATACAATCATAAAAACTTAATGCTGCTGCACACAAATTCCTTAGCATCTGATACTTTTCAAACACCGTGGCCAGGAACCTAGTAGAAATCTAGAGTTA